ATATATATATATAATATATATATATATATATATACTTATAAACCCTAAACCCTTGGAAACCCTTATGAACCCTTATAAACACCGATATACCCTACATCACTATAATAATTAATTATTAATAGTGTATTTAGGATGCAGATGTATGCACGGAAATTCAGCTGACAGATAGGTCTTGCGACATACTAAACCCTAAACCCTCAGGAGGTAGATGGTGGTGAGGGGGTAGTGGTTTGGTGCTGGTTTAAGGGTTTAGGGTTTGGCGTTTTGGGTCTGTGATTCAGAGGACGAGAGGAACTTTGTGTTGACGGTTATAGAGAATCATACACAACAGACGGATGTTCTTGATGAGAAGCAGCAGCTCCTCTTCTTTGAGGCTGTAGGCCATATTATATCCGCTACTCGTAAGCAAACCCTAAACCCTGAACCCTTATTTAACCAAGAGGATAGAAAGGGACGAGTCACCCGAAGAAAGTTGCTACTGCTCCTTTCTTTCCTTCGTACTTCTACTACTGCTGCTGCTGCCGTTGTTGCTGCTGTTGTCGCTGCTGCAGCTCCAGGAGTTCAGAATGATTGTATAGCAGCATTAATGGGTAATTGTCTAAAATCATGGGGAGAAATAATAAATAAAGGGAAAAATAATGCAGAAACCCTTTTTTCTGTACAATCAGCTAAACAACTTGTACATATTATTCGTATTAGTCAAAGAATTGCTAAGTAAGTCTTTTCTTTATTGTATTTATTTATTTATTTATTTGTAGTTTAATTATTAGAGGGATTTGTTTAATCCTTTATCTCTGTCTTTTTCTCGTTGCTTATCTAGTTAGCATTGTATATAAGGTTGTCGTGTATTCTATACTTATACATATACATGAACATACATGTACAAATCTATACATGCAAATATGCATATGTATATAATATATGCATGTATATATATGTATATTTACGTACAGATCAACAGGTTCTGCATTTACATCTCAGTTAATGCGTTTATATGGAGAAATGATGGAGATATACGGGGTGTATGGGCAGCGAATAGTAAAAGAAGTACAAAGAGCAGGTCCATCAAGAATAAAACATGCAGATATAAAATGTTTATATATATGCAAAAGGGAAACATTACATCTTCTTGAGGTGTATGCTGATGAGGCATTACGTGATGGACAATCACCAGCAAAAAAAGAAACTGTTAAAGAACTTGTAGGACAAGTCTTACAGCCTATTCTACAAGATTATAGGTATACTAAACCCTAAACCCTAAACCCTAAACCGTAGCGAGATATTGAGGGAATGCAACACAGCAAGCACACTAACCACCACACACAACTACTAACACTAAAACACTAAACCCTTAGTTATTCAATACATGCATACACTTGAAGGCTATTATGTAAAAGAGGACAAGCACAGATAAGGGGTTGGTGATTTATTAGGGTAAACCATCGAGGGTTTAGGGTTTAGGGTTTAGTGTGTACGGCCAACTTGCAGGGATAACACGCCGGACTCAAGAGACTGCGAAGTCTTGGCTCTTCTTGCGGTCCTTATGGCTCGTCTTGACACTCACATCTCCTCCGTAAGCACTGATTACGTCTAGGGTCTAGGGTTTAGGGTTTAGGTTATCGGGCTCAGGGTTTAGGGTTTAGGGTCTAGGGTTTAGCTGTGGGTTCGGAGTCTGCGGCGAATTGTTTGTGCAGGTTCTGCCGGTTATATTTGACTACATTTTCGACTGTACTCTCCAAATGATCAAGTCGGACTTCCAGAGGTCGGTCTAGGGTTTAGGGTTTATTATGATATCTAGGGTTCATGATGTGTGTCGCCGCTGCCGCGTTTCTAGCCTGCTCCTGGGGTCCTAGGGCTTAGGGTTTTGTACTGAGGGTTTGTATGTGTTCTTTGGTATGCATACACCCGACGTATAATATAGGGTTTAGGGTTTATGGTTTAGGGTTTGTGTTGTTATTTGTTGCAGCTACCCCGACCACCGTGAGAGGTTTTACGCCTTATTAAAGGCCTGCAATCAGCATTGTTTTGAGGGTTTATTTTCTTTACCTTCACAGCAGTTGAAGGCTTTTGTTGAATCCCTCGGTGAGTTTAGGGTTTAAACCCTCTCTAGGGTTTACGATAAACCCTAAACCCTAGTGTTTTCTGTTGAATTAGCCCCCTCTTCCTCCCTCCCTCTCTCGCCCTCTTTTCTGCTTCTCTTTTAATTTATTTTCTTTTATTATAATTAATAGTAACAATAATAATGGTAATTAATTATTTATTTTTGTGTTTATTTCCTCAGTGTGGGCATTTAAGCACGAACACCCCTCCTTAGCAGAGGAGGGTTTGCAGGTCACCTACGAGTTTTTGCAAAAGTTGATTGACGGCAAAAGGGAGGTTCGTCTTGCAAAAAAGGAGAAAAAGATGAATTATTTTTTAAGAAAATAAACAAACAAACAAATAAATAAATAAATAAATAAATAAATAAATAAATAAATAAATAAATAAATTGATATTAATTTTTATTTTTATCTGTTTTATACCTATTATGTTGATGTTTCAGCTATTAGGCGACTTTTGTAGTACATATTATTTTAGTTTAATGAATTAAAATAAATATGAATTAATTAATTAATTAATTAATTAATTAATTAATTTCTTGTATTTATTTGTTTGTGTGTATGTGTTTTTCAGTTATTAAGTGACTTTTGTAGTACATATTATTTTAGTTTAATGAAGGAAATATTATTAGTATTAACAGATAGATTACATAGATCAGGATTTAAATATCAGACATTAATTTTTATGTCTCTTCTTCGTATTGTTGGATTTGGTCTTGTTAGAGATGAAGCTAATGGGCTCACACAAGAAAATGTCACGTAAGAAACTATACATATACTATTCTTGCTCCTCCTGTTCCTCCTCTTGCTGCTGTTGTTGTTGTTGCTGTTGTTGTTGCTGTTGTTATTGTTGCTGCTGTTGTTGCTGTTGTTGTTGCTGTTCTTGTTGCTGTTGGTGCTGTTTATGTTGCTGCTGTAGCTATTCCTGCTGCCAGTGTGTATGTGTGTGGCGGGGTTAGGTGTTTACAATTCCATTGTATTATATATGTATTTATATATATTTATATAACCTATATTTGTGTGTATACAGGAAGAGTCTAATAGAATTATTAAGCAGAAGTTTCCAAACACTGAATCATAAACAAGTGGAGGCATTTGTTGTCGATTTATTCAACTTTTGCGGTGATTCAACTCCTTCCCGTTTCCAACAACATATGCGCGATTTCCTTATTTCCCTTAAGGTAAGGGTTTATTATTACTTATTTAATTAGGGTTTATTGTATTTTGTGTATTACTTAATTGGGGTTTATATGATAAGGGTTTTATAATACAGATTTCCTTGTTCATATAAATATAGATATATGTATGTTTATTTATTGGGGTGTATGTACTATATTTTGTCTTATTTATTATTCAGGAGTTTGCTGGGGATAATGACGCGCTGTTCGAGGCAGAGAGAGAGGAAGCTCTGGAGAGAGCTAGAGAATTGGAGAAGAAGAAGAGAGGCCAGGTAAATCTATTATTTATTTAATAATAATACAATAAACAGACATATTCACAATTAGACAGATTTATATAGTTGGTAAACATTGTTGTGGGTGCTTTCCTCTCAGTGTCTATGTGGCTCCTCCTTATATTTATAAATATATATATTTTCTTGTTTTATTATTTCCTATTGTATGCATTGATGTTGTCCTCTGTCTATTTGCTGTTACCAGGTGCCAGGGATGACGCCTCAGTATGAGTCCATGGTATCTATTCACAACATGGAGGATTGATTGAATCACTATTGACTGCCTGACATGAATAAAGGGCTAATAAATTAAATAAATAATAATAATAGTTTGCTGTAGATGACAATACGAATTAAATAGAGGATTTACAGGAAATGCAAATTAACTGTCTGCAGGTTTCGCATCCGTCCAGTTAATAACTGCATAGTTGTTGCATTTGCTGCTTATTGAATAGTATAAATAGCGGCAATAATAATGCTATTATATGCGGTAGCTGACGGTGGATGCTGTTGGTTTTTCTTATTGCATGCATTGCATTGCCTATTAATAATAAGGTGGTGGAAAAAAAGGAAAAAAAAAGGGGGCGAAACTTATATTTCTTTGGGTTATTGTTGCAAAGTAGAATATTAATAATAATTATTGCGAACAAAAATTAAATCATTGCATACATAATAGTTATAACGAGACCTCCTTAGTAACTTAATAATAACTACTCTCTCCTAAGTTGCTTTCTTTCTTTCTTAAAAAGAAAGCAAAATATATATAAGGAGGTATATATTATACAAGTGGAAGATGAAGGATAAATATAATATTCTTCATTTTTCACGACTTTCTTCCTTTTAATTCTTTATAGATAAACTAATATAGGTGATTTATCTTTTACATTGAATGCACGTAGCCAAAGATGATCAGGAGAAATGCCAAATTTCTTTACAAGATCCTTTAAACCTTTCTTAGACATAGAATGACCCTGAAATCAAACAAAAAAAAAAGTAAATAAATAAAAATTCCATACAACTTCTGAGGTGTACGTACACCTCAGTCCTCATATGTGTGACCACTTCACTGTCACTTTATTTATTCTACTCATTCATATTTGCCAAAAAAAAAAAAAAAAAAAAAAAAAAAAAA